GTCGTTCATTTCAATACCAAAATTTGCTCTTGAATTGACGTTTCTATTACTGACATAAATATAGGTACGTTGCTAGGCAACACTTTCAGTTCCTAGTAGCCAGAGTTGAACTTTAGCTCCTAGTAACCTAACAGAATGTACTAGGTCATTAAGAATACAACATTGTTATGATTGGTCATTTGGGTTGGGACGCATTCTGATTTGTTTCCGATTTCGGCAGATTTGGCATTCCATACTCATGCTGGAGATATGAATACACCATATCATAGTTAAGTATTATTGTTCTGATCAGAATAGCCTTCAAGAAGCACATACTTGCTTGATCTGTATTCCATTCAATCTCGGGATCTGATTAATAGGATAGCTTGTTTTTGAATAATCACGGCCAGCAATACTTTATTGCAAAGCGGGGCGTCTAGCGAAGCCAAAAGTGTTACTTTTGATCCCAATAAAACAATCTTCTATTTTCATACACTCACATTGCAATGCTACAAGATATACGTTTGCCCAATGATTTTTTCAATCCAAAGTGATTTATCAAGTTTTTGATACTTATTGCTAATTGGATATACCTTCAAACTGCCATTGGTATTGAAGGTATTGTACTCATTTTCTCGGTGACTCCAGTATAGTTTGAAAACTCAATAATGGTCACTCACTTCGTACTCATCAGCTGCCAATGTAATGGTTCACTCACAAGAAATGTCCCAAATACGTCTTAGATTGATTTAGAGGCTGGAGATTCATTGTTTAGTTCATCGCTCTTCTCATTGTTTTGGTGGCTTGTCTGAAACCCCAACAATGGCATTCATCCTTGGTCAGCTATCAATCATGGATATGATACAGTAAGTTATAGATCGCAACCATAGGAAGGGGTTATTCCTTCTATGCGTACACCGAGTATATGCTATTCAATTTGACTCATTTTATATATATGAGTATATTCGTTCCATTATAACTATGTATATTCAAAGTTTATATTGAACGTGTTCATTCAGATGTGAATATGATATTCTAATGAAAATCTGTCTGGAACCTTATTAAACTTTCAGAACTGGCTTTAGGCGCATTCATATCCATAGCTCCCATCCCAAACTCTTATGAAAACTGTCAAGGAATCTACTTAAAGTTGTTAAATTGGAATGTGTCACTGCTGAAATAAAAATTCGTCTTCTCCAGTTGCGATAGATTTCGCACATTTCCTAATACTCACTCTCAACCCATGGGTTTAACTTTCTCGATCGGAAACTGTTTTCTTCAGGAGAAACTCTAGTCTGAGAGAGGTGATCCTCATATATCCCATATGTAGCGTGATAAAATTGTCTTGTATGTCTATTGAAAATCCATCTACTTAAAAAAAAAGAGAATTCATTCGCAGGACTACTGAGCTTTTCAAAATATGTAAAGAATCATCTTGGGAACTTGTTATTACATCATAGGAATCAATACTATCGATAACAGCTGGAAAATAAAGTTAGTTTGATTGTGAATATCTTCGGCATCCTACTTTTTTGTTTCCTCTTCATTTTCACAATCAAAGATTGTACCTAAATTATAGTGCTAGTGCCCCATATATGTGTGATTTCAATCTGATAATATTCATAAGTGATATCACGATGTACTGAATATTCGAGAAAATTCGGTCACTTCATTGTTGCCAAGCAACACCACGAGTCCACGAGTGGTATCGGAGATATTCAGAACAGAGTGGAATTTTGCTAGACTATTTCACATTCACGAAGCATAAGGAGCATTCATTATAAATGAGTGGTACATTTTGACAAATATAGTCACAATTATTCCTTGCCAAATTAACAGACTTTGCTTCACTATTTCATGCTTACATCCAGACTTCGCTTCGCTATCCATGGGTACATCGTTGAAAACATCAACGCTGATAGACCAATCAGAATTTAAAAGACAGCTAATGTTTTCTCGATGAGAAAACGTTGTCTCTGGCTTGTGCTTGGTCAGATTATGTGATTGGTGAAATGGTCATTGTAATATCACAGTGGCTACTCACCATGAAACGAATTTTCAAAACACGGCGATATATTAATTTTCGTAACAAGTGCGGAAAGTGATACTTCCCCGCACGCGAATGCCGTTCGGGCAAGCAGTAGGAAATTAATTGATTTGTTCTATCAACTATTCCTGCAAATTGGAACAACTAACAATAGTGATATATTCCCTATCTCCTAATAATTAGTGATATATCTATTGGTTGCATAATGGGGGAGACCACTGATTTTTTAAAATGACATTATCGTGAACTCTATACTGAAAAACTACCAGCGAATTGATTTTGAATTTTGTCATCCATGCTAAGACGATGGAAAAAATAAATTAGAATATGCCCATTTCAAAACACACAATTCCTGCGCCATTTGAAATTTTGTCAATTTATTGGTGTGACTGGTGCGACGTCTTATTCCCAACACGCCTATTGTCCTTGAACTGACCAATCACACTGTAACACTGCAGAATGACGAGGTATCAGAGAGAGATAGCTACAGTTCGGGACTAATACGTCACGACTCCACCATCATATTTGGCTGTTCGAAATATCGAATGAAATTATGCTGATTTCAAAACGATATAGATTCGATTCCCTTCAACTTTAACTCATAATATTGATTGTACATCAAACGTAAATCATGATTCGTCGATTGAAAGAGGTTTGCACGGATTTCTTCTCTCAGTGGTCTTCCCCATTCGAACTTCAAACTGAGGGAAAACAAACTGTTGTCTATGGATAAAGTGCATAGACTACATTACATTCATCAGCTTGCTGTAGCTGTAGTCAAACTTGTCAATGACATGAAGTGTTGGCACTGTTGGTAGTGATGATGGTTGAGTTGGTTAATTTCTTTAGCTTATTACATTTTCATTAGTCAAGTGAACAGTGAACGGGTGAAGATTTGGAGATAGTTCAAACAATTCAAACTAATCATGACGATCAAATCAATTGACATATAAAAGAACAGATACAACATGTTTACAATACCCAGATTGTCCTGCTCTGCATGAACAAATACAAATCCATTGTTCTACAGGAGTTCCTCTGGACCCCAACTCCAATTTCACTTCATGTGGGGAAGATTTCATCGCCGAAGTTTGTAGACAAAGTTCAAAAATGTGCCTTTTGTTGAAATCTTCTGCCTCACACAAAATCACATGATTAGCACGGAGAACTGCTTCTCCTTCCATTACTGGTCGGCTTTTTCCGTTTAAATAGAGCAAAATATCTGCCAAAAGAACATCTACATCAGGCATTATTAGCGTTTTCGATCGAATATTGACAATTAATGTCTAGAAATTTAAAAACTTATCACTCTTATCAGTACACAGCACACAAGCTAATGGCACTGATGGGATTGAGTGACGATTGACTTTGTTTTCCTCCAGTTTTGACGTGGCTTTGACATGGAACGATGAAAGCCGAGCGTCACCTGGTAACATTGATTCCCGCGAATAGGGTGAATCACGCAAGCTTGTAGATTAACCAATTTCCCAGAAATTGATCATGATGAATTTATTTTTCATCGTCAAATGCATCGGTGAAATAGTGAAGATTAGGAATCTAGCGGATCATAGGCCCACTGGCTTTTCGTTGCGATATTTTCCTCAGTTTCCGTTTCTCGCTACGTCACTTGTGCTATCCGAAGAAAAATAATTGTTGTTTCTGTGAAAAATTAATGATCTGTTGTTGCAAAAATATTAAATTGCATAACTCGAAACGCTACTTCTCTCTTTCGAGTGAGAGATAGATTTATCGTTCCGGTAGATTAAGGGAGCATTTAATTCTGAATTTTCCGCCGAATTTCCACCGAGACCTGACGTTCGTTTTCATTAGTTGTGTTTCCGGTTACCCGAATTTTTAATTGGTGAAGAGAAAAATGTGAACAGTAAATACCAATAATAGGTATATGAAATATTAATTCATTTTTCAGCATGCTAGTCATGCACGGATCATTTTACTTTGCTTCGAGGTAATCGATTTTGTATTTTGATACTTTTGAAATATATTTGTACGATAAAGTCTGGACGATGTTTATGGGTACACACTGGAACTACTGATATTCATAATTTAAAATCATCATTCAAAATCTCAACTGGGTTAAACCGCCTGCAATAATCAGCAATCCCATTTTCCTACAATATTATAGTTTGAAAATCCACCCACAGATCTATCAATTTCATCGTATATACATGGAGAGCGAAACTCGATGTCTCAGCTATAAGTATACTTAATATACGGAAACAAAAAACGATAGAACAACATTGTTTTCTTGGAAACATTCTTATAACTTGGCATATTTTGGGGAAAGCAATCTAAACGATTTCTGTAAAGAAAAGACTTCCTTTCTCCGTGGATAAATCATTATCATCATGAGGCTTTGTCGAGAATATAATTTTCCCCTTTGTTTTCTCATATTTCTTCCCCATTTTTCTTGATGTAATTATTGCGAGAAAGTGAGGGGCTAATTTTAATGTTTTTTATCTTTCCGTTCGCACGAATGTGAATCTACGGAACAATTTCTTCAGGGAATTGTGTTTAGAATAGTTAGCTCTCCCAATATTTTCCAAAATATACCAGGATATATTTCCAGAAAAATATTATTCATTGACATCATTTCAGTTATAGGATTTGAAAAATTTGGCTCAAAATAGACCTTGATGCCTATTTCCTTTTGACAATATCTTCCCAGATATTTTTATTGTTTCTCCTTTTCTTGGTTTCTTATAATGGAACTGAAATATCGAAACTGATTCACCCTATACATTAGGTACCTTGTGAATAGATAGCGTTTGAAACGATCATCCATATTTTGAAATCATTCCTTCCAATTTAGGATGATATCATTTGGACATTTGCATTTTGAATTCCTATTTCAGGTAGATTGCAGCTTTATTTTTTCAATCATTTATAAGTGATGATAACAGGGAACATTTCAATTCTGCAGGAATCAAATTCTGAAATGTTTTTCGCTATACTACTAATATCGGTTCATTTCAAATCTGTCTTGCAGATTATATTCATCTACATCGTTGTAAACGCTTCCTTCCTCTTCTAAATGCTGAAAATGCTCAAGGAAGATGCCTTTTAATGCGTGAAATAAATTTCCATTTCATCAGTTTAATCATGGACACTTGATATAATCTGTGGCACATTCGGCTGAAAAGAAAATCCTGTTCAGGGACTGCTCAGAGGACATTCTTCTCCCAAAGCGAGCTATAAATAGCCATTACATTTTCATTTGAAGCAGATTCCAGCGTCGCCACAGTGCATTTTCCACTGATTCAATGTAATTATTCTAATTACTCACAAGTGCATTCTGCCAAGCAGACAGTCACATCGGATAAAAGAAACAATTAATAATGGTGCAATTAAGTTGAGAGAACTAATTATTATTTGTGATAAAAAGAAAAGCAGTTGGTCGCTGTTGTAATTTCCGTTCGGTTTCTTCACCTCTAGTTGATTTTTCATGGGGAATGGATTGTCCTTCTCATAACAGGAAGCAAAATCATTTCTGGAATAGAAACTATGTGTTCATTGTTCATTGATTCAGTTAAGAAGAAGGAAATTCTCACGGAAGTGAGAACAGGGCATTGCAGGCAAAAAAGAAACCTAGGAAGCTTGGCTTAGAGAACTACGAATACCATCCATCCATCTTGAAATTATGTGTTTAAGTAATGCTACAAAAAAATTACTCACCCTGTATAAACTACCTTCCCAAATAGAAGTTGTGGCAAGTGATCAATTGAAAATATGATTAGGTCGATAATCAATGATCCTCTTAATAATTGATAATGGTTTTTTTTGCTCGACACCTATATTTGAACGTGACACGTGCAGGGCTGGCTTGGATGCGTTGATTTGTTGATTATGAATAAAAATGCTGTTCATAATTGAAATTAAAAGTCACAGGTCAGCTTTTGACGCATTTTTCGATTAATTAAATTTGACATAAAGATATCCGCTTGTTTATATACTTAATTAATGATGTGACAGCTCAAAGTGAGAAACACAAAGCACTATTCGGAATAAAAAGTAATTAGCTTTGATGAAGAATGAAAAATTTCAAAATTTCTTACATAGGTATATTATATATATATATATATGGCATGATTTCTGATTATGTTCTTGCTATTCCTTCGTTATTTCGTTCATAATAATTCACCTCATCAGGCCTACAGATTATTCGCTCTTTATTATGGGAGACATATTCTCCAAATTATTTTCGAAATGTCTTTTGTGTATGCAAATTTCAAATCATCGCAATATAACCATAATGGATGATTCTCTTCAAGTCATCTGTTTTAACCATAAGAAAATGTTAAATATCACGAAAGTCAACCGTACTATTCATTATACTTGTGAAAACGGTGGTCATCCATTTATCTCGTTTTTATACCATTGCATTTGTTTCGAAATATTCCGTTATTATTTATGTAGTCTGTACACGATTGTAATTGCGATTGTTTTCCATGGCCAAGCCAGATGGTCATTAGGCTTTTTTGTTCGTTCACTGGAGGACAGAAAATCTAGTCCTGTTGTCCTGCACAAAAACATGTCTCCATGACTCCATGTTCTGCTACATTTTATGGTTCCTTCTCGTTGAATCCAAGATTTATACAAATCGAAATTGTGATTTACGTTTCAAAATCAGTTGGTGATATATGTATAAGCACATAAGCAAATAAGAAACCACACACAGAAAAAAAAATTTGTTTGAAACTACAAAAGTTCTCTTAATTCAACAAAATCTGAGTTTCATATATCCACGACAAAATATTTTGTCACCGCAACAAATTTTTTTTTATCAGTTCTGAAATCAAAATTCATTTGATGTATCTCATTAATCATTCAAATTAACAGCAGGAGTTGGTTGAATAAACAAAGACTATTTTGTTCTTATGATACAATATCTGCTCTTATAACGATTCTGTCGATTGGAATGATTATATCATTTCATTCAAGTGACAAAATTTTCAGTTTTTCAGAGATTGAATATGTTGAAATAACAATATATATTCTTCAATCAACCAAATTGTATTTAGAATTGACAAAATATTTTGATGACTAATATTTAAAAAATCCAATAACTGAATTTCAAACAAAGAGAAATTAGAAATCAATTTCCTCAGTTGATTCAAGGCTATTAGCTTGTATAAGCGTCATAAGAAATTCTAGGACAGCCTGATATAATTATATAAACCGATGTTTTAGGTAGGTTTATGTACACCGCAATCGAGGCGATCGTAGGATATAATGTATTTGTGGGTTCTGTTCAACAAAGTAATTTGTTTGAAATAACAACATATTTCTTTTGTTGTCATAATCAATTCAATTTTGTCGAATAGAAAAAAAACTTTGATTGGTTGCACAATGAAATGATTGTTGACTCAACAAAATATGATGTTGTATTTAGTTAAATCTCTGTCAAAATGAATTTAATTTTGTCGAATAGCATGCATATGATTGATTGAACAATGAGATGATAGTTGGATCAACAAAATTTGTTTCATGTTGTTGAATGAAATGAAACTTTTGTTCAAGTAAGCAAATATTTCAATCAAATTATTTCGTCTCTTTGAATAGGTTGCTTATTTGGAATGAACATATATTTTGTTTATTTCGCAAAATCGTGTTCAATTTAACAAAAAAAAAATGACCAAAATTATTTTGTTTGGGCAACTAAACTTTTTTTTCCGTGCAGAAGCTAGCTTGTACGTGGCATGTTTGGTTACATTACAGATATAGGTATCATTCATAATACTCGGCTGGAACAAGAATTCATTAATATGATTTAACTTTAATATAAATATTTATATAGTTGTGATAAAAGCATCAGCATGTTGGAATAACAATAATAGTAATAAAAATAGAATGGAAAAAAGAGGTGGATAGTTGAAACTTTGGTAGGTAGGTATGATCAGTGATGATATTTTGAGTCAACAGTTGTGTCTCCAATCCATTTCATTAATTTGTTTTGTCAATTGGGTAGATGTCAATAAGCTCGTGTTTTAATGGTCTCAAAATCATAACCACAGCTCAACGCCGAATAGAGCCATAAAACAAGTTCACAAGCTTTATACCGACAAATCGATAATTATGGTCTTCGGCCACAATTTCATTTTCAGCAATAATTTTCGGTTGAACAAACTCCAACATCTCTAATGCTTTCAATTTATTGGAATTTTTACTACTTCTTGCGTTTGCACAATGAAATCAAATTGTTCATATTCCTTCCGTGAATTTTGATGGGAGCTTCGTATAATTGATAAATTTGTGTATAACAATTGAACCATTTTGATGCTTTGAGCATCAGTCAGTGATGGTTATCCGTAAATGTATTGTTGCATAATTTTTGAGACTGTGATAACACGTTTTTATCCACGACTGTTGTATGAATTATTTATTATTCATGTACGTCCACAAGCAAAACAGTAGCCTTTATTCACAGCAGTGAATAATAGCAGTGAATAACCATAATTCACTGGTCTACAGTTCCTAGCAAGTGCAACAGCCGTTGAAAAATCATTATAATATAACAGATATCTCCCATTTTCAGTTTTCCTAATGTCAAATGAGTTATGATAAAACAGTTGTTGAAAATAAATTTATATATCAATGACAATAGTAGTCGTGGACAAAGTATAGTATTCAACTCGCATATAATGAGCTATTATTCACTCAGGTTGGCTATGCCACTCGCTACGCTCGTGACGTAAACTTAACCTTCGTGAATATTAGCTTTCATTATATGCTTTGTTGAATAATCTACTATTATTGACAGCTGCTCAATTCATAGTGACTGACGTTTCAGTTCATTGTGATGTATTCTTTTGTTGCGAGTTCATCTGCATTAGCATGTTTTGCTCTACTCATCTCAAATATTGAGAGCGAACTTGTTGTGTTTAAGAAGTAGGTAAGTGATAAATGAAGTGTATCATTTATGTCACCAATCGCACGTAAGAAAATCCCTATTATATTCGCCAGCGTAACACTTGCATACTAGTGGAGAAGAGAAAGGTGCAACCTCATTAATGTATATCTATTTCCCGTGGCGAATCAGAAATAGAGCAAACACAATTTTCCATTTTCATTCTTTACGAGCGTTTATTCACGGCAATAGGGAAATATGCATTCCTTTGTAAACGGACCTTTTCCAGTCTGGCAACAATCCGACGCAAATTGATCCTAAGAGGGGACTAACGGATGCATTCCGGAATGCATTGTGAAAATGTAATTAAAAGTACACATCACCTATGGAGCACTTTGAAATCCGGATCGCTGCAGGAAATTCCTGCTGAAAAGGTTGCCTGGCAAAGGATAATGCTCTACTTGCTGAATGGGTACTCATCAGATACATAGATAACAACTTCGAAAAATATATGTACAATACATTGGTCAAACGATGCAATGACTATCTATGATATTTGGTGGATTAGACATATTCCCAGGCAACCAGATGACGAATGATCACGTCACTGTGAGGTCCCTAATTGGTGATGACGTACTTTCTATGACGTGATAATCACGTCATCGTTTCGACGTCGAGTGAACGTCACTTAGATGGGTTGAAGAAGACGTCAGTTTCATGACGCTGCAGGGACGTCCTGTCAACGTCTATTTTTCCCAGACCTTCTCTAAACCATGGATACTCATATATTATAATATGAAACAGAAATATAACTCATGAAAGCGAATCAACATGCAAGTTATATTGGAATTATTAATATTCCCGAAAAGTAGGAGAAAACTTTTTTTCAAAAAACTTTGACACACTGTATATCTCAGAAACCAACAAGCTATGTATATATACAAATGATTGTTGAGGTATTCCTATATTGAAACCGTTACTCTCATGACGTTGCAGTGACGTATCTATGAAGTATAAAAATCACGTCGATGTGACGTACCAATTTGGTGAGCTTCGTCATTCAGAAATGTGCTCAAGAACCAACACTTATATCAATGCATCATGAAATTCATCACTGAAAAAAATACTGAGAAAATATTTCTTTCTCCAAACGAAGTTTGATGCTTTGCAACGTTCCAAGTAATTTGAAT